GGGTCTGTTCTAAAGACACTGTAATAAGCAGGAAGGCTACCATATGGGACCCCTTCCAGGCCTGATGTCCTTTGCAAGACCTCATCCATTTGTTTACGGGCGTTTGCTGATTGCTTGGCCTGTGACTGCACTGGCCTACATGTGGGGGCTACACAGATAATTGTCACAGTCTTCAAGGACCTCGCTGTCTCATAGGTGAAGCAGACACTGTGTAGAAAGTATCAAGTCATGGCCGTGTGCTTGGGCGATATGAGGAAGAAGGGGCTAGCGGAGGGCAGAGAGGAGAGGTGAAGCTGGTTAGCGGGTCAAGGAGAGCTGTTCCATATAGGATTGCTGTGGGTTAAGCTGATGGGACATACATTTCTTTTGTACAACCAGTAACCTGTAGGTAAGGGGTCCTAGGCTGATGCCTGTAGGGATGTTGGGAGAATCCCGGGCTTGCTCTTTTCTCTCTCTGTCATTTTCATCATCGTGGATTTTGTTGTTTTGATTGTTGTTCTGGGTCTCATGTTTATCTTTAAGGCAAGAAGAAAGGAGAGGGGAGGATGAAGGATAATATTAGTCTCCTATGACTGCTGTTACCGATTCTGCAAACTGGGTAGCTGAGCACAATAGAAATTTATTCTCTCACAGTTTTGGACACCAGAAGGCCCAGATGAGTATCTCTGAGTTAAAACAATGTGTTGGCAGGGCTGCACTTTTTGGAAGCCTGAAGGGAGAATCCATTCCTTCTGGTGACTGCCAACATACCTTGGCTTATGGCCACATCATTCACATCTCTGTTTTCATCTTCACATCACTTTCTCTTCTGTGGCTGTGTGTCAAATCTCCCTCTGCTCTCTCTTATCATGACATTCTTGATGGCATTCATGGCCCACCTGGATAATCCAGGATCATCTCTCCATTTTAAGATTCTTTAAAATCTTCAAAAGAACCTTTTCCCCAAAAAAGTAATATTTAAATGTTCTAGGGCAGGGGTCCTCAAACTTTTTAAACGGAGCCAGTTCACTGTCCCTCAGACCTTTGGAGGGCCAGACTATAGTTTTAAAAAAACCTATGAACAAATTCCTATGCACACTGCACATATCTTATTTTGAAGTAAAAAAACAAAACGGGAACAAATACAATATTTGTATTTGCATGTGGCCCGCGGGCCGTAGTTTGAGGACCCCTGTTCTAGGGATTAGGACTGATATATTTGTGGGTCATGATCATCCTAAGACAAAGCAACTGTGCATTGTGCCATCAACTT